TGAGGTCTTTTGTTTCGCGTCGTTGGGAGACATCAAGAGCGACGGTAAAAGGAGAAACGCTGCGTATTAGAGTGTGCAGGATCAGAGCTGAAGGTGAGGCCGGACGGCTTGCGACAGCCGATTATGGACGCGGAACGAGAGGGCTGCGACTATATCTTATCACCGTAATAGATTTTTGGACGACCTTAGCGTCCAGATTTTGAAATTTAAAAACCTGGACAGATCTGGATGCGGCAAAATACTACGAAAATCTTTATTCTATTAAAAGCGTCCCCTTTCTATGCTGTCTAAATTTAGATCAACCATCTGAACAAACCTTGTTGGCATTTCCACGCATGAGCAAGTCTTTCAGGCGAAAGTTGGTATACGAGAGCTACTCCCACAAAGCGGGAGGCTCAAGCCCATGCTGAGGCATCATAGCCTCTTTTAGATTCTTTACGGCCGCCTAGAAACCGCAAAAATAGATTGTATGTGAAAGACTGGTAATGGACTATTCATGTAGAACAGTTGAGAAATAATCCTGGGCGCGAAGGGTGCCGTAGATGTTTTAGAGTTGATGTTGCAACGTAAAACATGCTCTACAAGACAATAAATTTGAAATGATTGTCGTAAATAAAGGCATAAGACGAAGGCTAATTAGGGATAAAACCCAATCCGCAGATCATTCCAGATAGGTGACATGGAGGAGTAGCTTTGTCGCATCATTAAACCTTGCAATTGCTAAATGAACATGAGTTCTTCATCGTATTACGAAGCTGACCACGGCTTCGTAATTATGTCGCAATAGCTCCTGCGTCGAATATAAATTACCCGCTAGCCTCAGCATGATTGAATTAGATCTATTGAGCCTCCCCTTCGACATATCTATGAGCCTCCCCTACCATACGAAGCGATCATTTCTCAGAGCGAATGGCCACGCTGGCGGTGCCTATGGAGTATACAAACCTGTTCGTAAGTAATCATTATGATTGCTTGAGAAACCCTCCTGGATGATTACGACCCCGTACGGTGCTAGAATGTTTTGTTGCGGTGTTGACATATATATGCGGTTATTATATCCTTATTATACTACATACTGTTGGCAAAATTACGGTGCTGAAGTTCCAATCTGTAAATTGTGCCCTGATCCGAGTATCTGTAGTTTGAAC